GGGAGCCATATTCCGGCTGATCACAGCAGGGATGGGAGCCAGAAGCAGCTGCAGAGACCAGTTCTGGCTTCACAAGGTGTGCTAATGACCCAAGACTAGCTGTAGGTCAGGCAGACAGGATCCTAACTCTGCAGGTTTTCCAGCCCCTGTTGAGTTCAGTACTTGAAGAAAACTATGACCTGGCACCCATGAACCTCACAGATTCAGCTGATGGACTGTTGCTTGGTGGGTTTTTTTGTTGTTGGTTTTTTTTTTTTTTTCCCCTGTGAGAAATCTGGACTTCTGAATCTTCTAGCTCCACTGTGCTTGCAAAAGCTTAGAAAAAGCAGCAACTCTGGGTGAATTTCTGAGGACGGTCTGAATGCACCTGGCATCTACAAACAGTCATAGCATGATTTCAAAATGTTCACAATGAGTTAGTGATGGTGTGGCAGAATGCCTCCTTCTGTCTTAGTCTGAGTGGTTGTATCTGCTAGTTAAGGTAATCTTAGTAAAGATTCACAAAACATGTTCACATGCTCTTCACCTGACATTGTCTGTAATTCTATACAAAGTGCATGTAATATATTTCTACCTGTTAAAAATGTAATAATAGCCTTATGTTTGTTATGACTTTCAGAAAAGTAGAACAAGCTCACCAACAACTTTATTAAAATTAGCTACACCAAATTTCTCTTTGAAGAGATCATTAAGATTATCACCTACCTTGTCAAGTCAGAGCCCCCGGAGGGATGACATTTCTAGCAGTAGAAAGTGGTAAGTACAAAAGTCCCTTGTACACCTTTCTGCACGCCAGTATAACCCAAATATTTATGAAAGGCTTTTAGATCCTACTGTTTTCATGAATACATTTTTTTTAATATAATAATCTGCTTAGTGAAGCACAGTTGCGGGACAGATTGTGTGCATGGAGAACTCATCCCTGGCTGATTAGTTTCTCATTTATTTGTACCACAACACAAAAGGGTTTATTTCTCCAAATATAGGTGTTTTACCCTCTCTCGTAAAATCATTGATATTCTCCACATACATTGCTATTATTCTAACCTGTCTCAAGCATTCACCCTCAAAGATATGCTGTGTCAGTGATTTCCACAGGGCCACATGAAAAAGTATTCCTCTACATTTTTTACATTTATTATAAATTTGAATTCCATGTACTTTTTCCTCTACTCTTCACTATGTCATTCTACCTCTCTCATGCCCCTTATTAGCTGTTTATTTTATAAGCAGTTCTAGTTTTTTCTTAAATAGGTATTGAAAATTCTGTTTGTTTGTGGATCCAGGCCAAAGTCTGTGAGCAGAGACATGTTTCATTGCTTAGCTTTGGATGACATTGAAGACTCAAAATACCAGGGTCATAGAAAGTACACCTATGCTGAGCTTCTCCCGGTAAGTAGTGCTTGAAAATTTGAGTTGTCTTGAATCATGGGTTAAAACACTTTATTCTGTAGTATTAAAGGGGAAGTAGTCAATGATGGGAAGAAATTGGTTTGACTATGTGAATGTCAATGTCATATGCAGAGGTATAATCAAAATGTCAGCATTTTCTGTGTGGTATCTGTCACCTATTTGATAGGAAATTATGGCACATACAGAGGTTTATTTTCACTAGAAAGTGTTGATCTTCTCCATGGTGACCATGTGTATTATGGAAAACTCACTGGATAAATGCTTCAGTGGAATCGTTGCCTAGAGAAGTATACCAGACTTACAGTGAAAACTGAATCTGCCCTAGAAAGTCATTAAAATAGTAAAATTCATAAGAGGAAAATGCTTCACTTGTACAATTCCTCTTTATTGCTTGTGTACTTCATTCTTTTCTTTGTTGAATTATTGCCTGCTAAGCAGGCCCTCAATCCAGCAAACCTCAGGAGGGACAGGCTGCACAGAAGAGCCTTTTCTCAATAACTGTTAAAATGCTGACAAGTCAAATGCATGAGATGCCAAGATTTGGCAATTTAAAATATATCCAAAACTTTTCACATTTGTGGAATGATCTCGAAACAGCCTGCTGTTTCATGGAGATATTGGTGGCCTCACAACTAAAAAAACCCCGTATTATGAAATCTACATGTGCATGGAGTTTGCTGATCAGTTGAGTACATGATTGTTTGTTTTTCAAATCAAAATCATACTTTGTTTATTACTTCACTACAATTATTTTTACTTTTTGTTAATTTTGACAGAAGAAAAGGCTAGTCTTTGCAATTATGGAACATTTGCAGTTAGAAACTTATATTAAGGAAATGTTCACACCATGAATATTAGCTATTATACATCTTCATCATGCAGAGTTTCCCTCTAGCTGAGGGAGAAAAATACTATCCATTTACACTTAACGGATTAGACTGAAACCTACAGTCAGGACTCCACAATTTCCCATCAAAGATATGATGCAAAGGGGAATGAGGGATCCACAGTTTAACTTTTTACTGGATAATGCGATCTTCCTGCTCTGCTTCCATCCCTGTTACTGTTTGGAAAGAAGCCGGTTGTCAGCCACCACACTCATCTGCTCCCACTTCTGTTATCAGAGATGACAAGTCAGCCAAAATTTCTCTCTTGTGATCATCAGAAGCTAATTCACTAGTTTGTACTCTACTCTGGTTTCTCTGTGAGCATTGTCAAAATGGATGTATTCTTCCTCAAACACTCCAGGAGCTAGCCACAGCAAAGGGCATGGATTTCCTCTCCCCTAAAATGCTCCTGATTTTGATGCTGATGTCAGTGGTGTAACCCTAGAAGTCATCTCTTTTGTTCTATGATAGTTAATAATTTTGAGGCTTGACCAAATAACCACCTATTAACTTCTGTTGGTTTAAAACATAGTAGCCTGAGCTGAGACAACTTTTGACAGCTTGGTGATATGGCTTAGTATCATTGGAATTCCTTGGATTTGGAGCTGGAGAGTTAATAACACCGTTAAGGCCAGGTTTGTTTTCCTGTTTCAAGTATTGAGGAACCACCGAAGGGATGCTATGGTCATTTTGCTACTCTGCATGCCTTCAGTCATCAGACTTCTTCCATTGCATGTGAATATTTAGTGGGAAAATGGTATGGAGAGCTATGATCAATTACATATGTAGTAGAAAATGGAGCCTAGGTTCTTGGGATGAAGATACTAATTGAACACACTGCATGGCCCTCCATTGCAATATACTGACATTTGAAAATAATGAAAGCCTGTTATTCCTTGCTGTATATTTTATTTGTCCAGGGGAAATGCACTGCTGGCAGTGTTGTCTTAAGGGGATCAAGAATGGAAAGCATGCTGCAATCTCTTTATTTGGAGAACAGAGCAGGCTACTACTTCACACACTTCTGTGAGAAGTCAGGGAGTAAGGTATGAGCATTTTCCTACCCTGTGATAATTTAGTCTACAGTTGACTGAATGCCAAGTTATAGAGGGCAGCCAGACTGAAAAAAAAATGGAGAAAGAAAGATTGATGACTGGATGAATTATTACTTGTGAGACTCCAATCCCTCAACAACAATAAACTGTTCATGTGTATATTCAAACTAATGACAGGTCTTAACCAAGCTGTCAGATTCTAACTCTCTCAAACCTATTGGAAATCTGATTGTACCATCAGGGATAAAAAAAGACTAATAATTTTTAAAAACTAGCCTTTAACTTGGCAGAAAAAATGAGGTCTTAACCCACAAAAACATTTTTTTAAAAGATGGAAAATCTGCTATGCTATTACTCATGATAATCTGCCTCCTTCTTACTTATTGGGTTAGTGATGTCCAAAATCTCCAATGTTTTAAAAACGTTCTTCTGCTTCCACGAAGCTTCTTGGATTTCTGAGAAACATAACACTATTTCTTCTCTGCAGTCAGCAGATCCATCATTCATTGCTGGGTGTAAATTGAGGATTGGTTGGAACAAGTTATGAATCTGAGTCAGTGTTTAGTGGCTTTGCAGAAAAATTGAGTCTTTAGGGGAGATTTGAATGCAATCAGGATGGACATCTGTTTCACCGCTGGCACAACCCAGAAACAAGCAGCAGTAGCTAGAAATGCCTTTGGCTACCAGAAGGCAAGAGCCAATGTTTCCAAAGCTGAATACCTTCAGCTAAAAATGTTAAATGCGTATAGATAGAAATCTAAATAAAAGTAACTTATTTTTTCATCGGAGATAGGCACCCACCCATATGGCCTCTAGCCTTTGCAGGTGCCAGACTCCTTTTAAAATTATTTCCTTAAGGTTTTGCCTACAACTCTGGAGCCTATTTCACTGATATGCCAGGTCTGGCAGGCTACAGTGCGTGGAGCAAAGTTCCCTGCCCCTGTCTTTTTGGAACACTTTCTTTATTGTCCAGTGATGGGGGTTTCAGGGTATTTTTAAGATCCAAACCCCATAAGCACATGATTAAAACAGAGGACTAGGGGAAAGATCTAGTCTCCTCCTTCTGAAAGATCTTTTGATGTTTGTTTGAATTTATGAAATGAGGCCAAGACTCTGCGCCTCAGAAATGCATGTAATAAAAATGTAGTGATAGTCCCAGTAACATATGTCAAGTACACAATATTTAATTGTTCTGGTTATTGCTGCAAAATGCTATTCCACCATGGCACAAATTCTGCGTGTCCATTATCAGCGTTTCTTCTCTAGTGCTGGCTTTATGCCACTGAAATGTGGTTACTCTTCAAATGTTAACTACAATGTTAACAATTTTAATGGCCAATTATGCAGAAAGGATACAATAAAAGATATAGTATCACAGTGACGATGCCATTAAATATGTTGTCCTTCTGCCAGTATGCAACAGAAGATTAAATCCATCTTAAATTGAGCTTGATTTACGATGACCCCAAGGAGCTAAATAATTACTTGCATTGGAAAGTCAACCTTTTATAAAGCTGTGATATTTGGGTAGCAATAACTTACAATATTTTTCATCTCTAGTTGTGGAAGAACAGTGTGTACTTTTGGTTTGACCTACAGGCTTATCATCAGCTTTTCTACCAAGAAACTCTTCATCCTTTTAAAATATGCAAGCAAGCTCAAGTAAGTTGTAAATAATGTTTTCCCTTCACAAATATATTTGTTCGTTCCTTTCACAAATACATTTGTTCAGTGTAAAGACTGAAAAGAAGATAGAAAGTAGAAAAGTTTCCAAATCTTGACAACCCACACTAAAGTGAATCTGGGTTGTGGACAATAAAAAAAACCTCTTTGGATTGTTTCCATGGAATTTCTTGATTGAAATGTTAAACATGCATAGTTTGATTTCTAGGCTCTGTTGCCTGTGCCCACTTTTATCTATTATACTCAGTTTACCTAATCTCCCCTTTGCTACTCTGTCGTGTATTTGGAAACTATCTGCTTAGTGTTAACATCAGAGATAATATATTTTTTCTAAATCATCTAACTGTGCTGTACTTTTTCCTTCCATCTCCTGTGTGGGTTACAATTGCAGGTCTCACAGTCCAGACCTCAGATAATGACTTTAGTCATGAAAATAGATCTTTCAGTTGTCAATCCTGTTTTCCTGATTGTCAGGGCATCATGATGCTCTTTTTGCAGTCGTCATTCCCC